GATAAATTTATAACATCTCCTGGCAGTAGTAGTAGTAAGTGTGGTAAGGAGAAAATAACTCAGGGCAAGGAAATAGAGTGAGGAATGGCATTGCTAGACTGCATCTTTGAGAAGATTTTTGAGCAATAACCATATGAAGTAAGACTGAGCCATGTAATAGCTTTGGGGAGAATTACATGTCACAGTAACAGCAAGGACCATGCCCTGAGGTGGGAACAATTTTGGTATATTGGAGAAATAGTAAGGTAACCAGTGTGGTTTTTTGTGAAGTGGTTCGGCCTAAATATGGTGGTTCTTGGTGTGGGGAGAGTGGGAAAGCCTGCCATCTTTATCATCTTCCCTTAGGGTCTAGAAGATCTGCTGCTTTTAACTAGCAAACATTTTGATGAGATTACTTGACAGCTAAAAGCAAAACAGGTGGCCTGAGCACAAAGATGTCTCATCAAAGTGGCCCCAAGTTGGTTCTTTCATTGAAAAGTAGCCCAGATAACTGATCAGAGATAATAGACTAGTCGTATAAGCTGACACGATTTCCCCTCGAGGTTTGACCTGCCTTGGCTATATCCTAAAGGAGTAGCACAGGAGAACCAGGTGCCAGGTTGGCTAAACAAATGAGAGAGTGTAAGGAAGAAAGAAAAAGTTTGGCTAATGAAGTTGCAAAGTGCTCCCCTCTCCTTCCAGATAGGACAGCATCAGAGAGATAAAACCCTTCAGTTCATGCTCCTACTCATTTCAGCTGTCCTTTGTAGGTGCCACATTCAAGTGGGGGAAAGAAATTACTAGTTACCTTTGTCCTGTTACAGATCATGTGAAAGAAAGGACACTGTCTTTGCTTAGTGATAGGAGCTACATATCCATTAAAGCGCCTTTTTTCGTAATTGTTTATATGTTGGGAAATTAAATGGTGTGTGGAAAAAATGGTATAGCAAAGGATCAATTGGATGAACTTGGGATACTGGAAAAGAAGGTGCTTGACCAGTTATCTGGGTGGCTTAAGGTGGGTAAGTGTGTCAGAGTAGGACAGGGTAGTTCACAGGCATGAGCGTGGTGGAAATGTTCTTCAGTGTTCTGTTTTCTCTGGTTCCACGTATTCCCTAAGCTGCTTTCCCTTTGCTCCCTGTCAATCCCCACCACCCTGTCCCCCATTTCTATTTACTGAATAACTGTGCCAGACACCGTGGGTGTCAGAGACAGTGATGTTCAGAGTTCATGAATCGAAAGCAGGCAAGTCAGTTGTAACACAAAGGTGTTCAGTGAAGGAAGTATATACAAGATACTGAGGTGAGGCAGAAAGGGGGTGAGCAGTCGCGTGGAAGGCTTCTTTGCAGCAGTACAAGGTGCATTCTGGAGGAAGACTGGATGCTTGCCACATGGGTGGGGGAGGTGGGGTTCACGCAGTGGGAACAGGATATACCAAAAAATCAAGGCATGGATTCGTACTAGGTTTTTCAGTAACTGGTTCAATAATGCCGGAGAGCTAGGTGAGGAATAGATTACAGAAGGACTTGAATTCCACGTTAAGGGGTTTGGATTTTTACTAAACTCTAGGTCACAGGTTCTCAAAGGGGTGATCCTTGGATACTGCATCAGACCTACTGAGTCAAAATCTTGAGGGTGAATCCCATTAATAGGCACCTTTCACAAGTAATTTTTAAGCAGACAGGTCTGGGAACTTCTGTAGCCAGAAGACAGCTAATGAAAGATTTTAAGATGAATTATGACCCAAAGGGTTCTCAAAGAGTAACAGCAGCAGCAGCAGCATCTAACCGGGAACTTGTTAGAAATGGAAAATTCTGAGCCCTACCCCAAACCTTCTGAGTCAGAAAACTCTCGGTGGAGCCCCCAAGTCTGTTGTAAGACAGTCTCTAGGTCTTGAAGAGAACCACTATCTTCTGTTAGACAACTGGCAGCAATATGTAGGATAGGTCTGGAAAACGGGGGGATGCCAGTGAGAACAGCAGAGAGACCCGTTAGCCAACCGTTTAAAAAGTCCATGCAGGAGAAAGCAGGAGGTGGGGCGTCACTGCTGTGTGGGTGATGGGAAAAGCCATGGGCACGAATAACATGGTGAAGGGCAAATGCATGGGGAGGGAAGGAAAGGGGGAAGGGTAGGGTTCTGGTGAACAACAGGAGGAGGGAGCTTTCGCATGAACACGACTAAACGTGGAGGTCCCAGAGGTGAACTGGAGTTTTGAGAAAAGGAATGATCAGCGGTATCAAATACAAGAGAGGACTGACTGCTGGATTTGATTACTCAATCGTTGGTGACCTGAGCAAGAGAAATTCTAATGGAGCAATGGGAGTGGAGGTCAGGCTGCAGTTGGTCCAGAGTAGAGAACTGGAATGTAGTGATTGGAAAGAAGGGGTCTTTGGAACCCTTGGGAAGGGCACTAGCGCGTCCTCTGAGCTGGAAGAGAGGCTAGGGGCACACGCGGGTAAGGGGAAGTGGCGGTGGGAGGTGGGAGAGACGTCCGATAGTGCAAACGTATGGTGAAATAAGCATCAAT